AGGTAAAGACATTCTTCTGGTCAAAGGTAAAACGCTAGGGCACAGTATACCCCAGCTCAAAGGTCCCCTTTCAGCAGTTATTCATGCAAGGCAAATAGTGGCCACTCAATAGACACTTTACAACCTAGCAACACAGGTCCTGCTGTGTTTTAGAGAAATCCTTACCTGACCCTAGAAGAAGATCTCAAAGGTAACCAACAACTAGGGTGGGGTAAAGAGCCAAGAAGTCACACCACAGAGGCAATGAATTTAAATGTTCCCTTAATCTCCAAAGCACAAGTTAGACGCTGTGCTTCTAACCAGATCTGAATTCCATCTATAAGCAAAGTGGTACGTCTAAAACCAAAGACCACAAACATGAAATACTGTTCTATCAGAGGAGCCACATCTGATAATATGCCAGCAGTATAGATAAACATACCATTGCCTTTTTAGTACCAACATGAGGGAGGGTAGTTTTGCAATAAGAAACACATGTCTATTTTAAGAGTGGGATGCAAAATTCACACAAAATGTCCAAGAAATGTCAGGCTTCCCTAGGATACTTGGAAAGAGAACCCTGAGGAGCATAGTTACTGTCCTGTACCCTTCAGGATTTCAGGAGAACATGAGTGTAAAGCACTTACTCTGTGCCAGACAATGTCTTAAACTTTTTACAAACATTAACACATTGAGTCCTCATGACAAGCCAGTGAGGTAGGTAAAATATAAAAAAAGGTTAAGTGAATTCTCCAAATCACATAGCTAATAAGTGGTAACGTGTGCATTTAAACCTCAAGCAGTTTGGCTCCTGAGTCAACGTTTTTAACCTCTTCTCTCACAAAGACTGTTTTTTTGTTGGTTTTTTTTTTTTGGGGGGGGGGAGTTTTTTGCTGTAGGGCACGTGAGCTCGCCAAAAAGTCAAAGAGAGACAGAGAGACAGAAAGCGAGAAATCACCCCCCAGGGGGATGGCCATGTCGCAATCCCTTCTCCTCCATTCTCCTCTCGGGATCTCAGGCACGCACGCACACGCACCCGTCGTGAGTTTAAGCCACCGGGTCCGGGACTCGGACTGCGGTCGGATACATGAGAGTCCAATAACATAGCCATTACGCTAACTGTGGTCCCTCAAATTTGTATATTAAGAACATGTTAAGAACAGTCTTGGTACCAGCAGTTAGCGTAACCGCTATGTTGCTGGACTCCCATGTAGCCGACCGCGGTCCGAGTCCCGGACCCGGTGGCTTAAACTCACGATGGGTGCGTGTGCGTGCATGCCCAAGATACCGAGAGGAGAATGGAGGAGAAGGGATTGCAGCATGGCCATCCCCCCTGGGGGGTGATTTCTCGCTTTCTGTCTCTCTGTCTCTGTCTTTCTGGCAAGTGCACGCGCCCTATAGCAAAAACCTCTGCAAAAAAAATAAATAATACAAATTTAAGGTCCCTTTCCCTGGGGATGCAATAGGTCTGTGCTAGACTAGGGCAACCGTAATTTCCAAATTCTCTGGGTGAGTGAAAGCCATTGGTCTAACACAACAGCTTTATTTACCAGCTAAGAAAAACTGAAGGCCAGAGAGAAAAATGAACTTGCCCAAGATCATACAGCAAGTTAAAAGCAAAGACAAAACAACCTCAGATCCCTCAATTTTCTGCTAGAGCCCTTTCCAACTTCTCTTTTTAAAAAATCACCAACAAATGCCAAATTAGCTTAATAATCAAATGGGGAGCAGAGAAAGCACCATGGGGTGTCTTGAACCTGGATCTGAGCTACCCTACACCAAATGTGGCTAGCACCTCAGCATTCATGCCAGAGCTCTAACCAGCATCCCCCCACCATGGGTCCTGCAGGCAGACCGGCATGGGAATGGGCAGCACCATGGCCCGAGTGGGCAGCATCGTGAGCCCACTGGTAAGCATGACCGCCGAGCTCTACCCCTCTGTGCCCCTCTTTATCTACGGCGCTGTCCCCGTAGCTGCCAGCGCTGCCACTGCCCTTCTGCCGGAGACCCTGGGCCAGCCACTGCCGGACACAGTGCAGGATCTGGAGAACAGGTGGGCCTCCACCCAGAGAGGAGCAAGAACTTACCTCGGTCACGTGGCCAGGCTGGGATGGCATTGCGATTCAAGCTCAGGCCTTCTCTTCCAGATCAGAGCTCTTCATCCCTTTCCCCCAGTTGGATGAGAGTCTCTTAGAATCCTTCCTGGAGTTCCCAACTCCAAGGAACAGTAGGAGTCTGGGGCAGAGAGCAGGTGACTGGGTACAGCTGAGGGGACAGTCCCTGGGAGCCCTTCACTCCCAGCACTGGCCTAGAGGTTGCATACCCAGAGTACCATGTTCTGCCACGCAGGCGGAGAGGAAAACCAAGGCGGCAACAGCAAGAACAGCAGAAGCAGATGGTCCCACTCCAGGCCTCTGCACAAGAGAAGACTGGACTCTGAGAACTGAAATGGGGCCTTACAGAGCCCTAAAGGGAAGAGAGGCCTACAGATCCTGGGTCGCCCACACAAGGAGGGCCATGGTAGCCCAAGTATGGGGACTATGGTTCAGGGACACACCTCCCCAGGGGTCCCTCTCCCTGAATAGACCCCACCAAGACCACATCATTAAAAGGTTTGGCTGTGCAACACTTCCCATGTCTCTCTTGTCTTAAATGGAATGGCCACTCCACATCCACCAGCTTCTAGGTAATACAGCACTCCCTTCCACACCCTCACAACCCACCTGCCTCCACCCCCAGGACTTTATCTACCATCCCAGACAATCAGAAGACCCTCCTACCTTGGTCCCCTCTCTGTGCTTCCTTTCTTCCCCCTTCTCTCCCTCCCTCCTTCTCCTTCAACCTACTCAGGTATTCCTATAAGCTTTGGCTAAATACCATATGTCCCTCCCCTTCCCTGATGGCAAAAATTGACAAGGATCTAAAGTGAAAGAAGTCAATCAGAGGCTTTGTTTCAGGCTCCTATCCCTCTGAGAATAGGTGGGAACTTGTAGCAGCAAAGAAGGAAAAAGAAGACAAGAGATCAGCAGGTGGCATGGTGGTTAAGACGCTAGACTTCCACATGGCCAACCACGATTGGAGTCCTGGACCTGGTGTCTTAAAACTCATGCTGGGCACGTATGTGTGCGTGCCCAAAATCCTAGGAGGAGGATGGAGGAGAAGGAACTACAGGGTGACCATCTCCCCTCTAGGGTTGATTTCTCACTTTCCCTCTCACTGTCTTTCTCTGTCTCTCTGATGAGCCCACACACCCTATGGGGGAAAAAAAAAAAAACTTTTAAAAAACCAAAAAGGAAGGAAGGGGGGAAGGGAAAAAAAAAAATGAGCAATGTCAGTGCCCTCTACCCACATGATCAGGATGCTGGAATCCTCTAGATTCCAACAGTGTCCAGACTCTAGTTTGCCACTCCCAGCTCTGCTGCTGATGTTCAGCTCACTAGCGAACCTAATCCTTTCTGTTAGGTTTCCTGAGCTCTCTGTAGCTCGGCCTCCTTCAGTCCTGGGCTGGTAGAGAAGGGCTAGGAGGAAAGGAGAAAGCTAGAATACAGCCAATACAGTCAGGGAGAGCCAACACTGAGTGCTAACTATGTGCCAGGCACTGTCCTAAATAATTTACATATATTTACTCATTTCACACTCCTAGTAACCCTCTGAAGGTAGATACTGTCATTATTCCCATTTTACAGATAGGCCCTGCAAGGTTAAGTAACTTGGCCAAGTTCACGCAGTGAAGAAGTGAAGAAGTCAGGATTAGAATCTGAACGATCTGGCACCAGAATGTGTATCCCTGACCCTTCTACTGCCCAGGACTGAAGCACTGAGACTTTAGCCTTTTCCACCCTTTAGGCCCAGCTTCTCCTCCTCCCTCCTGGGCTGAAACAAAATGGAAAAGAAGAAAGGAGGGGATAATGGGAGGAACCATGCAAAAGAAGGGATGGAAGGGATAGAAGCCAGTTTAGGTCCAGAGCTTATGTCAGCAGGGGAGCTCACTTCAGGCAGCCCTGGGGTGGCACAGAAAAATGCAACCCCATTAGTATCTACAGGTGGCAGGAGTGAGGCCTGCAGCACCCTGCCATGTGCCATAAATGCCTGCTCAGCCATGCTTGTCTGCTGGCACACTACCTGTAACCCTTTCCTCTGCAGCTGATCCATCCCACCCCACCTTAAGCCTTCATCCTCCAAACCATGCACGCTGCCTTCAACCTGAGGCTTGGGTTAAGTTAGGGTGATGGAGAGAAGAGAGACTGCCTGGAGATCAATCCCCTGAACAATGCACATGGTCCTGGGAGAGCTCACAGCAGCTCAGACAGCAAGACTCAGGACAAATCTGAGCAGGGCTGAAATCACCATACCCCAGCCCACTTTCTGGAATACCTAGAGCCTTAGGGTTCCCCCATGGGAGTGTTGACATTTCCCCAGGCTCCTCCAAGAATTTCTCGACCATCATAGAGACACTAGCTACCCAAAGGCCACCAGCCCCAAGCCCACTGGGATTTCTCAGGCCGCATAGCCTTGTGGGCAACCCTCACAGAGCACCTGGAAAGTCATCTCAACCAGCCTAGAGCAGGGAGACAGGTCAGAGACAGGGGGTAGGACACCTGAATCTAACTCTGCTTCTGCAGATCTGGAATCCTGAGCCAATCACCCCCTGTCTCAAACCCTGTCTGCCAGCAATTCTGACATATTCTGACCCCACCGTGAGTCACTCCTTTCTAGACTCAGCTCACCAGTACCACTTCAACAAGTCTGTCCAGAGTCAGCCCCTAGGCCTGCTCTGGCTCCACCCCCACTGGTACATGTCACAAGTGCTGACTCAGATAGCTCAGACAGAATCCATTCCCCCAGCTCCTGGCCTCGGACTTCCTACACTCATCCCACATTCTTGACCAAATGTCACCCTTTCTCCCACTCCTAAGCCACCAATAGGTGATTTCTGACCCTGTCTCCCAGAAAAGTCTTCCCCCCCAGAACACTGACTCAGATCCTTCCTGCAGCATTGCCCCTGAGCCTGAATTCTGATACTGACATGCTCCACCCCAGTGGTCCCAAGTACTCTTCAGTTTGGATCACAAGGTCCTACCCTCAGCAAGGCTGGCAGAAACTTTATAGCCACCCTCAGTTTCCCGACATCAGAAAAACCTTCAACTGCCTGGCCTTCATAGAGTGATCATCAGAAGCCACCTTCTCAGGGGTCCACCCTACCTGTCCCCACCTGTACAGCCAGACTTCAATCCACTGCAAACCTCTCCCTTAGGTTCTTTTCTCTCATTTCCTAGGAGTTTGCACAACCCCTTAGAGAGCAGACGCCCAACCAGTTAAACCTTCACATCGTGTGCTAGGCTGAATAATGGTCCCCAAAGATACCTATAATCCAATCCCTGGGATCTGTAAATGTTACTTAACGTGGTAAAGATATTTTGCAGACATTTGTTTTTTAAAGATTTTTGCCATAGGGCACGTGCACTCTCCAGAGAGAGAGAGACATGTACAGTGAGAGAGAAAGTGAGAAATCAAAGAGAGATGGCCAGGACACAGTCCCTTCTCCTCCTTTATCTTCTTGGAGTTTTGGGCACACACACGAGTCTGACAACATCTTCAATCCACCAGGTCCAGGACTTGAACCACAGTTGGCCATGTGGGAGTCCAGCACCTTAACCACCACACCATCTGCTGGCTCCCAGACATGATTAAATTAAGAGTTTTGAGATGAGGATATCCTGGATTATCTGGTTGGGTCCAGTGATCACAACAGTACTTATAAGAGAGAGGCAGGAGGCTGGCAGGTGGCATGGTGGTTAAGGTGCTGGACTCTCATATGACTGACCACAGTTTGAGCTCCAGAACTGGCAGCTTGCTTTCTCACTTTCTCTCTCTCTCTCCCTAGTCAAATTAAAAATAAGTAAATAAATGAATAAATACAAGACCAGCAGTTGACATAATAGCTATGTCACTGGGCTCCCATGTAGTCGACCGCAGTTCAAGTTCCGGACCCAGTGGCCTAAAACGCATGCTGGGTGTGTGTGTGTGCGTGCCCAAGATCCCAAGAGGAGAATGGAAGAGAAGGGATTGCAGCATGGCCTCCCCCCGGGGGGTTGTTTCTTGCTTTGTCTTTCTCTCTCTCTCTGTCTTTCTGGCAACCACACGCACCCTATAGCAAAAATCTCTCAAAAAAAAAAAAAAAAAAGAATAAATTTTAAAAATTAAATAATTCTTTTTTAAAAAGAGAATGAGAGGCAGGAGATCAGAGTAGGTAGTAGGAGATGTAACAGAAGCAAGAGGTTGAAATGATATAAAAAAAGAGTTTTTTATATATGAATATATATATTATATATATTAATATACATATATGTGACTATATATTATTTTATCCAAGTCAAGATAGAGACCATAACTCTCAATTAATTGTTACCAAAATACTTCTGATCAGGTTTTCTTTATTTCTTCTTTCTCTTGTTTTCTTTTTTGATTTTTTGTTTTTGCTTTGTTTTTGCTATGGGGCATGTGTAATTGCTGGAGAAAGTGAGAGATGAGAGAGAAGAGAGAAGGAAAGTGAGAAAGAGTCCCCAGGAAGGATGGCCACACAGTAATCCCCTCTCCTCCATTCTCTTCTTGGGATTTTGGGCATGCATGCACACACACTAGGCATGTTTTTCAAGCAGCAGGGACTAGAACTACACAGTCAGCCTTGTCAGATACAGCCATGCTAACCACCGTGCCACCTGGCTAGATCCTTCTGTTAAGTTTTGTGGGCTTTTTAAATTTATTTATTATTACTTTTTTCACATGAATTTTGCCAGAGGAAGACAGAGAGAGAGAGAGAGAGAAAGAAAGCTGCCAGGTCTGGGACTCAAACCATGGTCAGCCATGTGGGAATTCCAGTGCCTTAACCACCACGCCTCCCGCAGGCCCCCCTTCTGGTAAGTTTTAACCACTAAATAAATATATTTGGTGTTGTCAAAAAGAAGATCGGGGAGGAGGAGAGGAAAGAAAAAGGGTAAGGGAGTGGGAGGAGAAAGAGAAGGAGGAACCACAAGCCAAGGAATACAACTGGCTCTAGAAGCTGAAAAAGACAAGGCAAGGAAATGAATTCTGCTCTAACGTCTCCAGAAAGAACACAGCCTTGCTGACATACTAACTTTAGACTGCTGCCTCCAGAACAATAAGAGAATAAATCTGTGCTGTTACAAACCTCTGAGTTTATGGCAATCTGTTAACAATAGCAATAGGAAAGTGATAGACATCCCTTGTTCTCAGACACCTCCAGGGAAGCCCATAGAGATTTTATTTTCTCATGCACTATATTTTTTGTGAGCATAGACTAACATCAGACATCTCACAACTGAGACAATGCAGGCAAGGAAAGAATGGGAAGACATTTTTAAAACTCTGAAAGAAAAACAATTTCAGCCAAGAATTCAATATTTGGCAAGATTATCCTTCAAATGGGAAGGAGAAATAAAGTCATTCCCAGTCTAACGAAAGCTGGAAGAATTCACCAAAACTAAACCAGCTCTTTAGGAAACACTTAAGAAAATATTGCACCAGGAAAACTAAAGGGAGATAAGTAGAAGTGAGAGAACACAAAATAATTGGGGGGGGGAGGAGCATAACAAAACGACAAGGTAAATGCA